GGACAGATAAACTTAGTGCCCGATTAGGGTATGGCTGCGGGAGGGAAGCGCATCCTAGCTCGGGCCCACTGCAGGGGGCTGGGCCTTCACCTCTGTTCTTGATTTCAGCCTCACCCCACATGGCCTGCAGGTGGCGCCGGGGCTCACCCCATGTTCCAGAGAGGACACTGAGCTGGGGAGGGTTGGGAGGGTGCAGACGCTTGAGCCAGGAGCGAGCTGGTAGCCCACGGAGCCAGCATTCAAACCCAAGGCTGCCACGAAGGCCCCCCCTCCCCCCGTGCTGCCCCCTGTGCTGCGTTAGACGTCGGCCGCCGACACTGGCTTCCTTCGGCAACGCCCCCTCCAGGCAGCACGGGGTCATAGTCACCAAAGTGAGCTGCCAGTTCGGGTGACAGGGTGACAGAAAGGTTCTGGAAATGGAGGTGGCGATGGTCGTGCAACAGTGCAGACACACCGAATGCCACCGAACTGGACACTTCAACGTGGGAGACGTATTAGCCAGCGCGATTAAACAGCAAACGTGTGTAACAAACACAGGGACCGTTCAAGACAAGGACACCATCCGGGCCACGGGGAATCACCCACAGATTGTTCAGAATAGACATCACACAGATGTCTATGATGACATCAGATGTCTATTCGGAGAACGTGGTAAGATTCCATTAGAAGCTAATAAAAATATAAACCTCTCCCCCCGAGAAAAAAATAACAACAACATGGGCCGCTTGGGGTCAAATCCCTGCTCCCCACTGAGCAGCTCAGTGACCCTGGGCAGACTCGAGGACCTCTCTGTGCCCAGGTGTACAGTGGGGAACGCAGCCGTGTCCTCTTGGGCTTGTGTCCCGGACTGAAGGGACTCAAATCAGGGACAACAGACAGGGGGTAGGTGGGGGGGAAATTCCTTCTGTAAAATTTTCTGGCTTTACAGGCGTCTGCCACAAGGGCCAGGTCTGCCAACATAGCACAAAGCAGCCGCAGACAACAGACGCGCAAAGGGACGTGGCCGTGTGTCAATAAAGCTTTATTTACAAGCACGCAGCAGGCTGAAGGGTCATGCCTTGCCAACCCCTGGCACGCACCCCGGCACTCGCTAAGTGCTTGGCAAATGCTCACTATTATCATTGAGAAACACATCATGTATCTCACTTCACAACCAGTGAAAGGTACCATACTTCTTGTTACACTTCTGAAAAGAAACACGAACACCAAAGGCAAGCGCCGAGCCCCTGTCCCCGCTGGAGAGCTGCCCCCCCTCCCCCCCCCGCCTCACTGAGCAGCCTGGTGCTTTACCACCAGGCCCTCCGGGCTGCTTTTTCCGGGCGATTCTGAACCAGCAAGCTAGTCAGTCACCTCCCTGCCTACCCCCAAATACGCCTGCCTTCCCACCCCTCCAGGCAGGGCTCCTCTGCCCTGCCCGTCACAGAGTGAGCCCCCCCACCCCAGTCCCCCTCCCCGCTGGCCCAAATATAGTCCCTGGGCTGGCTGGCTGGCCTTGGAAAGGCCAGAGCAAGGAAAACATTGCCCGAAAGCACGCAGGGCTGGAGTGACAATGCCGAGGTCCCCCTGCTGGCCAGCCCCGCGCTCCTTTCTGAGCTTCGATGACACACCACCCCTGGCTGCCAGCACTGGCTCAGAGGTGGCAGGTGCCTCTCCCTGACTTCGCACACCCGCCCTCCCGCGGGAGGGTCACCCTCCCCTGCAGGGCTCGGCCTGCTCGCGGCGCCACACCTGAGCTGCGGAGGAGCAAGGCTCGGCGACCTCTGACTTCCAGCCCCACCCCCGCGGCCGCACACAGCCCTGGCTGGTCAGGTGCCCACGTAATCCTCACCCCGGAGCAGTGCTGTGCAGCTTCAATGACACCACTCTCAGCAAAAGGGGGGGGGGGGGTTGGAGCAACAATAGCTACTTTCCCTACGTAAACGTCAGAGAAAAAGGAACTGGGCGCTGTGAAGTGACTTGCCCCAGGTCACCTGAGCTGGTGGCCCTCGCTGCAGCGGCTCTGACCCCGCCCTGTTCCTTCATGGCTCCGGGGCCGCTGCTTATGATCGGGAGTCCCATTAAGAGTTTTCCTAGGAGCTGGGTGGAAGTGACCGCAACCGCCTCACCCGAACACCGAGCAGGAAGGAAGTCCAGATGAAAGGCATCCAAGGACCTGCCTCGGGACCAGGGAGGTGGTGTACGTGGATTCTGGGTTCGGGGTTCCCACAGACAGCTCAGCGCCTTCTCCAGTCTGCACACCAGTCTGCACAACCCACGCGAGGCCACGCACCCCCACCCCGCGCCCTTCCTGTTCATCGCCACTGCTTGAAGACTCCGCTCGCTGATGTTAGCTGGGAACATTCACTGGGGTGTTTGCGGAAAAGCTAAGGGAGTTATTTTCAAATCACTTATCACACGCTCCCTCATCATCGTCATCACCACTGACTAAGTGCCTCCTGTGCCCAGAGCACCGCCCCGCTGAAGACGCACACCATCCTCATTTGTGCAGGAGACAGAGGCTGGGAGGGGTGAACCTTCTTGCCCCAGGTCACACGGCCACAAGGGACAGGACACAGGTGAGTCCGGATTCCGAAGCCCTACAGGTTGACCTGACAACCACAGGGGGGCGTGACTAAGGTCCAGGACACACCGAGGTCATCCCCGACCTTCCCCAGGGAGGCACCCCATGCTGGGTAGCAGGCCCAGGAGGGAGGCACCTGCCGGTCTCAGCTGCATGAGGGGCAAGGCCCGAAGGGGAACCCCGGCAGGTTCCAGCCCCAGGAGTTAAACAAACAGCCACCGCACGCAGAGCTGGCGGCTGCTGGCTCAGAATGAGCAGAAACAACTTCTCAGGCCAGGAAGGGGGGGCCTCCAGCAAGCCTCTACCTTGCCCCTCCCACCCCCAGCAGACCGAGGGCAGCCCCTCACACTCCCCCCCTCTCTGCACACGTCTCTGAAGGCACGGGCAGAGTGGGAGCCCGTGGGACTGCCTCCAGGAAGATGGAGCCCCCCACAAAGCCAGCCGCCTCTCAGACCTCACTGTGCCCCCAGCACCCAGGGGGCAAGGCCTGCGTAAAGCGAAAGGATGCAAATAGTATCCTGTGCATGGAAATAAAGTGCTCAGAGAGCACGGACCAGAGGGCCACACGGTCTGTTCGGCAGAGCCAGGGACACCCCAGAGAAGTAACATGGGAGCTGGGGTCCATTGTAGGAACAGGAGTTCCCCATTCAGGCAATGGTGGCTGAGAGGGTGTGGGGGCAGGGGAGCAGGGGGAGCCCCGGACGGTTTGTGAAGCAGGGAAATGGCAATGATCACATCTGTTGGGCCCACACGAGGGGCGTCTGGGCGAGAGAAGCTGGAAGGTGAGAGCTGCCCCAGACTCGGAGCAGAGACGTCCAGCATGGCAGACCACGTGCACGAGTCTCGGCAACAACAAGAACTTCGAGATCGTCCGTACGCCTCCACGGAATTGCCCCGAGACTTCCCTCTGGGCAGCAGGTTTCAGCAGGTTTCCACGGAACTGACAACGCCCGCCCGGCGCCCATCCTGAGGGTGTCCTGACCACCCACCCCATCCCCAAATCTTCCCCTTCTCCTCATCCACCAGCCTCATGATGAGCTAGGGGTGAGCCTCCCCCCACCTCACCAAAGCCCTGTATTTACTGTGGGTGGTGTCCTGTGTGACAGGCGGAGGTTGTCCCTGCCCTCCCCAACTTCCTAAAATGGTCAGGGAGGCGGAAGCCATCAGAGGGGACAGTAGTGTGTCCAGCTCTGCCACATAGGGAAGCTCAGGAGGGGCAAAGGGCTCTCCTTGACCTTGGTCCAGACCGAGTCAGCCGGTGGACGGAAGGGCGTTCCCAGAGAGGGAACAGCGCGAGAAAGGCCCAAGGACAGAGTGCCTGGGAGTGCACACGGGAGCGCTGGGGTTGGTGGAGGCCACCCGGCGGGTCGATACACTACAGTATCTCTAGAGCTTAAGGAGCCCGGCAGACGCTGGCGGAGAGCCCAGACCGGCCAAGCAGGCAGAAGAAGGGCAGGGGAGGTGGGCGGGGGTGGGGAGGGGGGTGCTTCTAAGGCGAAAGACTAAGCCTGGCAAGCGGCCTCCGTCAGGGATGACCAGGCCGGATCCTCAGGAGCCCGCAGCAAAGAGGGTGGAGTGCCGGAAAGATGGAGAGAGGGAGAGAAGGAGCTGGAGTCGAGGGCGTGGCGCACTCACACTGGCCCGAGAGGCCGCTCGCGCGAACGCAGGGTGCCCGGCCAGGCGCCCGGCCCCACTGAAGCCAGTTCCCCATACGCCATCTCCGAAGGCCTGGTGCGCCCAGGGCGCGCCAGCCAGGCAGGAGGGTGGGTACCAGCCTTTCTTCCCATCTCTCCAGCCTCCTCCCCGGCGCCCACGTGGGCGGAGCAGCGCGGGGGTGTGCGTGGCAGGAGCTGCGGCAGCGTGTGCCGTGCGTGGGGTGGGGGGTGCAGGCAGGGCAGCCTCGCCCTCCCGGGCCCCAGCTGCCGCTGCATGGTCCCAGGCTCCATCCTCTGTGCCACCTCGGCCGGGATCCGGGGACCCTGACCTACCTGGCCGGCAGGACACTGAGGGTAGAGGCCGGTCACGCCCCCCTAGCCACTCCCGGGAGGCACTTGGCGGATCCCCTCCCCCTCCTTAGTTCGGGGGCAGAATGGGAGACGTACGGAAATGGGGTTGGCGCGAGGAAGAAAGAGGGGCTGGGGCAGGGCAGGGAGGGACGTGGGGAGAGAGGCGACCCGGAAGCCTCCGGCTGCACGATGCTGCGGGGAGATGTGGAGAGGAGTGGGGGATGGAAACGAAAGGGTGGGGGCCCACCGAAAAGAGAAGCGAAAGTGGCAGGGGGCTCAGGAGGGGGCGCGAAGGCTGGAGGAGGAGGTGGACGATGGGGTGGGGCGGCACCGGTCACCGCGTCCCTGGCCGCCAGGTCCGCCCATCGTTCTCGAGGTCCGCGGGTCCCCTTGGACAGCGCGCGCCTCCCTTCCCCCGGCGTACCTGTACCTACCTGCTCGGCGCTCGGGCCCGAGCCGGGCGGCAGCAGCGGGCGTAGCGAGCGCAGCCCCGCGCCGCATCCTCCGGCCGCCACCTCCCTGCCCCGAGATTACGCTGCCGTCGCCCCCGCCTTATGAAGAACAAAACAGAAAAGAAAAAGGATGCGTAAAAAAAAAAACAAAAACGTAAGAAGCAAGAGGTGAAGACGGCCTGATGCGCGCGCCGCTCGGCGGGGGTCCAGCTGCAGCAGCGCGGGTGACAGCGTTCCCGGCAGCCGGCCGGCGCGTGCCGCACACTCCGGGTGCAGCTCCGGCGGCCGCCGGGCGCCGGGCTCCCAGTGAGGCCACGCCCTCCCCCGAGGCGCCTCTGCGATTGGCCCGTCCTCCTGTCAGTCAGAGAGGAGGGCGAGGTGCTCGCCTCGCCCCGCCCCCGCCGAGAGCCGCTGCTGAGAGCGGTATCGCTAGGGCAGAGGAGGCGCTGGCTCGTCTGAGCGTGCGCACTGGGCCGGGCGGCCCGCGCCGGGGAGTGGCTGGGGTCCCGTGGATGAGCGCCCCATTCCGCGCCAGGTCTGGGTGCCCTTTGGGTAGAAGCTGTCTGTGGGAGGAGCTTCGAGGCGCCAGTGAGAGCTAAGGGCCCCGGAAGTCTGCCCCTACCCTCAGAAGGTTCACATCCAATTTTGTTTTGTTCTGTTGGGGGTTGGTATCTAAAACCTGAGGCTAACCATCCTACGCAATTGGTGCCCGAGGGAGATACAGCGACAGCGGGTACGATATTTTCCCCTTCGTACAGAAATCTGAGGATCACAGGTTAGAGGAAAATGTCGAAGGTGCCACAGCGAACAAGTGGCGGAGCTGGGAATCTTACTCCTGAGCCCGTGACCATCACCACTGGGCAAAGCCGTATCACCAAACGGTGGTGGCACGAACGACATGGTGCCCACCGGGGCCTGAAGGAAGAGCGGCTTTGAGCTAGGCAAAGGTTCACTCATTCAGTTCTGTCCCACAGACCTTCACTGCGCCCCTTCTAGGAGCCAGGCAGCGACGAGGATCTCAGGGATAACCTAGGGAGCGGCGGAGAGGGGCCGCGGCCTTCCTGGGGACCACCTTGCCGCAAAGTGAGGGGCAGGCAGAGCGTCCACACTGTCCACACGAGGCCTTCTCCCAAGCATAACTAAACACTTAGAGGGAAACGTGGCATCATTGAGGATTTTTTTAAAAGATTTTATTTATTTATTTTTAGAGAGGGAAGGGAGGGAGAGAGAGAGAGAGAAACATCAATGTGCAGTTGCTGGGGGTTATGGCCTGCAACCCAGACATGTACCCTGGCTGGGAATCGAACCTGGGACACTTTGGTTCCCAGCCCGCGCTCAATCCACTGAGCTACGCCAGGCAGGGGAGGATCTTAAAAAGAGCCGATGTCTTTGGGCCAGAGTGAGGTGAAAGGGAGGGTGGCTAACGACGAGGATGGGGAGGGGCAGAGGCTGGTGCGTCTCCTAGACGATGGTGAGAGTGCTGTTTATCCCGAGGCTGTCTCACCCGGTAGGGTGGTCCCTGGGACCACTGTCAGATTGACGTATTTAGAATGTACTTACTGGTCAGGATAAACTACAAGAAGACCCAGTAACAAACAAACTCGAATCCCACTCCGTCTTTCTCACTCATGCAACAACACCCCATCGCTCCAGAAGAAGGCTCTCCTCACCCTGGTCTGTCTCAGCTGAGTGCCTACCGTCGTGCTGGTGGTAGAAAGAAAAGGAGGCAAGCTGTACTGGCTTTAAAGCTTCCTGTCGGAAGGGACACATCACTCCCCTCCAGGTCCATGGGCCAAAGCAGCTCTCATGGGCACCTCTGCTTCATGGATTTTTTTTTTAAATTAAGGATGGCACCTTATCGCCGGAAACAAAACCGGGGTTCCGTCGATGAGGAAGGGAGGGTGGATGTGAGACAGGCAACGAGCAGTGGCGGACAAGGTTTCACCAAGGTTTCGTAGGACCTAAAGCTTCTGCAAGGTAGAGGCCCTCTCTAAGAAAAAAAAGTTAAGGAAAATTTTACAAATACAGAATTAGGTATAAAAGTGAATATTTATTTAGAATAATAAAAACAGTTTTTTTAATGTTGGAAGTTGACAGATATCACAAACTTTACAAAGTCCAGAGAAATAATAATTTTTAAAATTAACTACCTGACATCCACCTTGATATCTTTCTTTACATTTTTTTTTGTTGTTGCTTTTTCACTCTTTTGGATCGTGTCTTCATAGGACAGTGATTCTGTAATATTTTTTCTTGTGGAGAAAATAGAAAATTCGGGGCCCTCCTCCAACGGTGAAATTTTCCCCTGTCGGTTAGAACACTTTCTTTCAGCCTCATAATCCACTGTCGGTCCTCATGCTCATTTGCTGTCCAATTTGGGAAAACCTCTCTCATTCTTTCCTAAATGAACACCAAGATTTAGAAGAATTGCTTTGTCCAGTTTCCTCACTGTAACTGTGCGAACGTTCACAATCAAGGGAATGGTGCGCACTCACACCTGGGGATGATGCAACCAGCGCTCCCCACACCTCGGTGCCCCTCGCAGGCTGGTAGGGGGAGCACCAGAAAAGGGCAGATGCCCGGGCCCCTCTGCGCCCCACTGAGGTGGGGCCTCTGAGTAGCAGGGCCCAGGAATCGGGATTTTGCTGGGTGCCCCGGTGATTCCCACGCGGGCTGAGCGGTCCTGGACTAGGGGATCCCCAGCTCGCCTCGTGACTCGGAAGGTGGGCAAGTCCAGGTCTGCCTGTTGGGAGAATCACCTTGTACCCCTGGCGTCTCCTCCTCCACCCATAGACTCTGGTGCCAGGCCCCCTAACACGGGTTCTGGCCCTGCGACCCTGGGTGGGCACAGCGTGGGGGAGGGCAATCCTGGAAGCCATTATACCTGCCCCGGGAGTGGGAGCTTGACCTTCGCAGGTGGGCTGGGAGCCATATAAACACAGCCCATGAAATGCAGATGAAGGCGTGGCTGACCCGGCTTCCTTCCACTGCTTCCCCTAAAGCCCTCGGCCACCTCAACACCCTCCGGTATGAGAGGAAGGGTGGTAACAGGAAGTCAGAGGGAAAGACAGCGGGTGTGACGGGCTAACTATGTCCCCTCAAAATCCATATGTCGAAGTCCTAACCCTCAGGACCTCAGAATGTGACTGTATTTGGTTATCAGGTCTTTAAATACGTGAGGCCATCGGGGTGGGTCCTGATCCAACCTGAGTGGTGTCCTTATAAGGAAAAGCGATGGGACACAGATGCAGAGGGACGACCATAGGAGGACACAGGGATCAGATGCACCAAGGAGAGGGGCCTCAGGAGGAACCAGCCCTGCCCACACCCTGACCGTGAACTTGCGGCCTCCAGAGGTGCGCTAAAATGAGTTTCTGGGCCGCCCAGGCCCCGGCACTCCGTTACGGCAGCCCGAGCAAACCGATACAACCTAACCCACTCAGACACGGCGGGGCATCTGCCCAGGCACCAGGGACATGGCACGCAAACAGCCAGTGTCTGTCGTCAAGAGCTCGTGGGCGGTGGGAGAGACAGAAGATCGCGCAGATCCCTGTGACGGGGGAGCCCGGGGCCGTGGGAGGGCAGGGGAAGGAGCTCCTAGAGACGCCTAAATGAATCAGAGGGGCTTCCTGGAGGAGGGAACACTGGAACTGAGTTTAAACAAGGAGGGAGGAAGCAGAGGAAACAGCATGGAAGTATGAAGACCATGACACGGGTGTCTGGCCTGCTGCCCCCTAGAGGCCACGCACATTTAAGAGGGGACTGCTGGTGATGAGGGAATTTGGAAGAGGGTGGGGCACGGCTGCAGTGGGGGCGTACTCCGGCAAGAGCATGGAGGCCGATGGGAGGTGGAGGGGAGAGCTGTTGAGTGGTGGCGATGAGGCAGGTCGAGGGCCAGATCCAGGGCAGTTTCAGCCACGGTCCCACAAGGACAGGTCAGGACCCTCTAGGTGGCACGTCCCCCCCACCTTGACTGGGTGGTTGAAAACGATCTGAGGGATGAGACTTGCTTTCTGGGTGGTGAGCTGTCCTGGGCTGGGGCGAGGGGGGTGGGGGGTGCGGGCATGGGGATGAGCAGCAGTAGTAACAAGAGCAAACACTGGCGGGGCTGGCTCTGAGCAGGCCCCCAAGCCCGGTGCTCCGTGAGGATCAGCTGCTCAGTCTGCACAACAGCCCTCGGCAGGGCGCGGTTGGGTCATTTGCAAAGATCACACAGCCAGTGGAGCGAGGATTCCACCCCCAGCAGCCTGGCCCTGGGGGTAAGGGAGTGATTACATCATTAACTGACATTTATTGAGCACTTACTGGGTTCCAGGTACTATGCTGAGCCTCAGGTATATTAGCTCATTTTGATCCTTAGAAACCATGATCCTTTGACCATGTCCTTAGAAACTGAGGAATGGAAAGGTTCAGTAATTTTCTCCAGGTCACAGGCGGATGAGCTGCAGAGCCATCTCCTGCTACAGCAGGAAAGGACTCAGCTCCTGCGCTGCTGCAAAGACGCAAAGGGACAGCCCTAGATGTCCCCCTCCCCAGGCGAGGGGCACGGAAAACCAGTGCTGGGCAAGGAACGGGGGGTGCTGGCCTTGGTCCTTGGCTCGGCCACAAGTTGGCTGTGTCCCTGTGACACGTCTCCGTCACCTTCCTGTCAAGTAGAAATGATGCCACCACCCCCACTCCCACCAGACAGTCTGGAACGTGGATTCTGCCCCACTATCGGCCCCCTGTGTCATCTTGAGCCTCAGTTCCCTCATCTGAGTAATGGGGACAGCAGCGCCTACCTCACGGGCCGGTGAGGCTATCGAAATACAACGAGGTCGGTCCACAAAGTATGCAGCCATGTGATAAGAAAAATAGAGACATTTATTGAAGAAGGTACAAGAAACATTGCACACAGGACAACGACACCTCAGTCCCCTTCAAAGCAGGCACCTTGGGACCTCACACAGTTCTCCCAGTCGCCATCCGCTGCCCCATCGTATCTTCCTGAATCTTCTCAATGGTCTGAAATCTCTTCCCTTTCCAAAGTGATTTTAATTTTGGGAAAAGCTGGAAGTTGCAGGGCACCAAATCTGAGCTATAGGGGGGCTGAGTCACCTCGGTGATTTGATGTTTCACCAAAAAACCGCACAAGACGTGATGCATGAGTGAGTGCGTTGTCATGACGAAGCTGCCGATCACCAGCGGCCCATAGCTGCAGCCTTCTGAACCATCCGAATAGTTTCTGCAGAGGAATGTTCAAGCTTAACGCAAAATTGGATGCA